AAAATGAAAGGCAATTGTGAGAAGTTCAGGAGCGTAATTCGGAACCAAGACAAGCACAGACGCCCAGGCAATGCTTTCTGAATCAGATGGCTCGGATGAAGATGTCGTCTCCAAAGGGTCACGCAAAGGAAAGCCCTGTTCACCGAATGGCCACCTGTCTCCAAGCATATAATACGCCTGGCGTAAGGCAATCAGGTGAGGGGATGGTCTGCCTGACCCTGCGAAAATATTCTCAGAAAGCTGGTGCGTTTTGGCTCCAACACAGAAAGCTCGATCAGCCGTTTGCAAAATGCGAGCAACACCAGCTGGCCTCTTAGCAACATGCTGAAGCTGCAGTTGAGCCTGACAAAGCAGTTCTGTGGGTGGGGGGTCTTGACTAGCAGGATAACTCTCACAAATAGACCAACCCAGACAGGGAAGATCCCAGCCGAAATAATTGACTTTACAGACTATCGAAGGGCGACAAGAATACTCAGAGCGAAGTGTGAGCCTGGCCGTAAGCTTGGACAGCAGATCCTCGACTGCAATGGCGGATCCTTGCAGACTACGGCGAGGAGACCTGCTACGTGAGCGGTCCGTGGCTGAGGTTCCCGAACTGGGTGCATCTTCCTGTGGATTGGCAGCACCCTGCTCGTTGAGATCGTGATCTTCATCATCAGTATCAGGCTCGGATTCATGACCTTCCTCTGAACCTGAGTGTGAGGAGCCTGACCTGTCCTCGATATCAGAGGAGACTGGAACGAGACTAGCTGTGAGTAGTCTGCCTGCATCGAGCAGAAAGTTTCCTTGTGCATCCTGACTGGCGCCCTCAAGGGTGACCTGATGGCCTTCAGGGATGAAGTGAGACAGCTCCTCGACAAGGGCTGTCCTGGAATATTTGCCATCGACAACTTCAATGCAAGAGAAACCCTGAAGTAAGGGCCTACAATCTATGACCGACAAGGTCTGTGCAGGTCTGGGCAATGCAGGTGGCACCGGAAGCCGATTGAACTCACCTGTGCAAGCAAAAACGGCTAGGCATGGCCAACCCCTGATAACTGCATCCTCAATGTCCGGATGAATCCTTTGGACAGTGAGGTGCTCTTCAGCGATCCCAAGCTGCGAAGACAGAAATTCCCTGTAATTACGCATGGGCGTGCCGTCCCACCGGATCAGACGATAGCCTGTGCTCATGACACAGCAGAATCTTTTAGCCCTTGCGGGGGCTGGGAATCTGGGGTTTAGGGCCCATTCTCTAGGAGTGGTCAGCATTGCTCCGAAGGGGAACCCTATTTTCCCAGGGGAACCACTAGCGACGAAGAAGATGCAGCCGCCTGTGAGGATCGCAACTTCCTCGTCATCACCTATGGGCTCCGGGTGTCCAAAGGCATAGACAGCAACCTGAAGAGGATCATCGATGCCGGCAAACCTGCACAGTTGGTCTTTTGTAGCAATCCTAGGGACTGCACTGACGAACAGCCTGTGATCGATGGCCGTCGTATCAAATACAACAAGTGGTTCATCTGCACCCCACTCAGGCACTGCTATGAAGGTGCCCCATTCATTGCTAGGCTGGGGCTCAACGGAAATGAGCCTCGGGTACAGTCGTTCGCAGTGTGGATGGCGGCCTTCAGTAATGCACTGAGTAACGGAGTGGGCTGTCATAGGTGTGCGAAATGCAATCTGGACAGTTTCCGGCGCTCTTTCCAGCGACAGAATAAAGAAAGTTGCGAGGGCAACCGTGGCAGCTACTTCTCCACCGGTGTCTTCAAAGGCTGGACCGGCCGGTGTGGGTGTTGTGGTCTCCAAACGTGGGAGACGCTGCTGCTGGGCAATCGCAATGGCAGGTGTTGGCAAGGTGGAGTGACCCGCAATTGAAAGGAGGTATTGCAATGTAGGATCGCTGGTATGCAGACTGTCTCCCTCTAGGCTTGGGGCTGTGTCGACAACTGACCCCGGAATACAGGCACCTGAGCTAGTAGGAGAACTAGAACCGATACCTGCAAAGCCTCTTTCATGATCAGCAGAGGGGAATGTGCTTCCTCCTGAATGTGCCTCCTGTAAAGGTTGTCCTGCTGGCTGTTGGCCTTCTGGCACAGCGGAACTAGAAAACACCCAGGCTGAATGACAGAGCAGATGCGGTCGTACGGCTTGCACCTCTGAAAAAAGGCCGCAAAAGACGGCCACATAACACAAAGGCGAGCAAGGACGGCAAAGCACACCACGTCGATCACCTGTGCGATAGCCATTCCGCACTTTTTTGCGCCAAGGCGACCAGTCGAGAACGGCTCGACTAGGTCGGGTGGAAGAACCCAAGGCACAGACTGCTCGACGCGTTCCCGGGTGGGGAAGGCCCCAAAGCAAAAACCAAAGGGGCTCTTGACGACCTGGTACCCTGGTGCCTAAAAGACTCCAAAGCGCCAGGGCAAATCCAAAAAGGGCGGACCTGCAGAGGGGCACAACAAAAGCCGCCACATAGGTCAGGAAAAGAACAAAGGGTGATTGGACCGGTGAGGAACCCTGAGCCACCGATAACCTTCTTAGGCACGCGGTCCGGAGTTGGCAACTAGCCAAAGTTGGCGGAGGGCAGACAAAGTGGCCACTCGCACAAAACTGAATTGCTTCTGCTCCAAAGAAGTCAGGCACTGGTGTTGAACCAGGTGCAGTTTCCAAAGGCTGGCATCCCTGAGCGACCGATATGCCTATTGCGCGCCCTTTGGACAAAAGGTGTAAAAGTGGGATCTGAGTATTGCAGAGATCCAAGAGCCGAGGCGAAGGAAGAGACTCCAACTCAAGAACCCAATGAGTGGAATCTCTTCGCGATGAAGACGAAGGCCAGAAAGAGCGATCTCTTCCCCAATAGAAGGAAAGAGTACCGGACTCTGGCTTGCGAGGTTGGCCGGCAGAGGGACAGCAAAGGGAGATGGGCAGATCCTGTACAGAGGCGATCAAAAATGTACAGTCTACCGAGGCTGGCTCATGGGGCTTTGCCCTCAGGGGCCTGCGAAGAGTGCAACACTCAAGAACATAGCACTCGACGGGATAGGAGGAAGGGACTGTCTCACCAAGAGACAATCGCAGTCCAGTCCAACCCACCAAGGCTAAGTACTTGAGGTCGGACCCTCCGCAGACATCATTGGTCAATCCATGTTGTCGTCTTCCACGAAACCGCCAAACTCCGGAGGCTTGGGCTCCGCAGATGGTGCCCGCACATCGCCTGGATCGCCGTCGTGGGCGAATCCCGCTGGAACTCCACCAGCCTCTCTGGCAGCCTGGTGTGCTGCTTGTGCTTCTTGTGCCTCTGCAAGCTGCTTCCTCTTGGCATCGAGCCGTTCTTGAAAAGCCTGGGATCCTGTAGAGATGTCCGGCTTGGTGTGGGTCTTGACTGGAAGTCTCACACGCCCACCTGCACCACGCCTGATGGCTGCACCTTGCGGGGACCTTGACGTGGAAGGCGACGGAGCGCCAGAAGGCATTCCCGGAGAGCTCATGTAGGGGTTGGGCTCCTCGATCTTGGCATGATATACCGGCGGGGGTGCCATGCTCCTTGCTGCCTCTGTAGGCCGAGGTTCCGCTTCGGTCTGTGGCTTCAACCCAGGGGGAGCACGACCCATGCGTGCCCTGGCACTCTGTTCCGCTGCCAAGGCCTGTTTGCTTCCGGGATCCGCGAGCTTCGCCGCCGCAAGTGCTTCTTGTAAAAAGCCTTCGGCGGGGGCAGGTTCCTCCGGAGCATTGATAAGCGCATCCCAATCGTCGTCCGCTTCCTGTGCTGGCGCCTCCACTGCTGGGAGGCCATGAAGCACCAGGATTTGCATATTCGCTGCTGCTTCTTGTCCCTGTGCTGTAGCCTGTGAGAGGTCCTCCTGAATCCGAGCGCAGTCCTCCTGAAACTTCTTCTTTTGCTTGGCAAAGCGGTTCTTGATGTCCTTTTGGAAGATGTCCCACTGTTGCTGGCGTTTGTGCATCTCTTCGCGGAGTTTCCGTACCTTCCCGTCTGCTTTCCTCGCTGCAGTGAGTGTCTTTTGAACCGCACGCATGAGTGGGGTAGCTGCTGGAAGATCTGGGCCTTCCGTGTCCTTGCCAGCTGACGTGGTTGCTCGAGATTCTGGGATCTCGATATGGTCGTAGTCCATCTGCTGGTCCTTGCGGGAGCGATAGGAGGTAGGCGACTGAGAGTACGCACCATGCCACATGTGCCAACCGCGCTGATCTCCCCAGTCGTCGTGTTGGGACCTCGTCGGCTGGTCTTTCCATGCCGGCTTCTTGCCCATAACCTCTCTATAGGCTGCATGAGTGTGGTGACGACTCAGAAGTCGTAGATCTCTGGAAGGTGGCGTGATCCTATGTTCACGTGCTTTCCAGATGCGGCAACGGGCTCTATGCCTACGTCGCCTTTGATTCCGATGCCACGTGGGAGACGACCCTGCCTTCGCAATGGCTGGATCGAAATAATCGTGCCTAAGGCACTGGGGCTTCGGCAATGCTATCTGCCAAATAGCTCGATCCGAAACCCTCACAATAGTATTGGTAATTATTTGGGCCCATATATTACGGCCATACCTGGGCTCAGCTGCTGCGGAGACTGCTTCATATATTATGCAAAAGCGTATCCCTGCATAGTCCCTCCATTAAAAGCATACTACAACGTATCCCAGAATCCCTTTCTAATCCTCAACGCCCCGATGTTGACAACCCTGATTCTTTCTTGAGCCCATTAGGAGCCGAGGTCTCCGAAACATACTTCCAGAGCCTGAGCCATCTAAACTGCTGCAGGGCGGAGGCGATAGGCCCAGGAACAAAACCACAGGGACTAAAGAATTACCAATACTATGAGGCTTCATTATTTTTATAGTAAAATGGGCCCCAAGCCCTATTCTAACTGAAGAGATTGCGATGGCTCGCATGTTAAGCAGTTAAGATGTGCTTGCAATTAGCTTGGCTGGTTAGCAGAAGGATTAGAGTGGGGTTTGAGTGCTGTTGTTGAATGCCAATGGCCAAGCGAAGCAAAGTTCTGTTGGCAGGTTCCGCGGCTTCTGCGAGCGGATGTTAGTCTTGTCCAGGCCAGCACGGCTTCGGTTGTGGTACTGTAAGAAGGGCTCTATCAGGGCGGTCATAATATTGATACCCTTCTAGTATAAGGGTATCAATATATCAGAGTACTTTAGTGGTACCGTGGGTTCGGGTCATGGTCTGATATGCACTTGAAGGAAGGCAGCAAAACCAGCAGACTAAAACCTCACTCCTTCGAACCCTCTGGGTTTGGGGTTTGCCTTAACCCCGAAGAACCTACTTTTAAGGACTTATATAAAAAAATCATAATAAGGAGCCCTAATAAGGTAGGTTATTCAGGGTTAAGGTGGGGCCGAAGCCTGGCTGGGATGCGTGCGACATGGCATGGACCATCTTGCGAAGATCTTGAACCCTCATCCCCCAGCCTTGCACAGAATCCCGAGACCTCGAAGTTTTGCAAAGGCCCCCAAACTGTCAACGGTTTAGGGGTTTAGGGTTTAGGTCAAACTCCATGAACTCTCCGAGAGGCCAAAGGGCCCCCAAACTGTCAACGGTTTAGGGGTTTAGGGTTTAGGTCAAATCCCGATGAACTCTCCGAGAGGCTGGGTCTACTTAGCCTGGGCCCCGTGGCTGGACTGAAGGGCTTCCAAGGCACGCGAAGGCGATGGCTGGCTGAGGTCGGGGGACCCAGAAATTCCTCTAATGGAGATGCTTGATACGTGATAATATCCCTCGTGGTCGCCGGGGGACCAGACATCCCTTCACTGGAGATACTTTATGAGTCACACTGACATCCCTGCATAGGGCCTGTATGATTCCTTCCGAATATGATTAGATGATTAGATTTTGACAATAAAGCGGACCAAGCCGTGCTCTAATTCTTGCGATCTTGAAAGCCAGCTGTCCGAACGCAAGACTTCCCTCGCATTGATGCTGTGGGTTGTTCTGCCATCGCTGCCGATTCCCTGGAAGATTGAGCCTCCCGATAGCCCAGAAACTCCAATATCCCCTTAAAGGGATCTATAAGGGTTTATGGGAGACTCAAATATCCTTTTCTTAAGGAATATACCCTAAAAATATAGTAGGTTCCCTCTTCAATTACTTGTAAGAGGTATTGGAGTCTCTGGGAACCAACGTGGAGCTTCGGGTGTAGAGCGGTGGTCGCCACACGTTCCCGACACCCGGAAGCCTAAAGCTCTCAAGCTGTGAATTGAACCCAACATGGGTGGTTGTCAAAATTAGGGTTTAGGGGGTACCCTAAATATTAGGTGCCGTATTCTAATAAGGACCAAAAAGAGTACCGTAATTTTGACAACAAACCATATATGCCCTTGGTTGAAACCCTGCACTTCCGAACCCTCAGCCTCACTCCCCATTCCATGTCCAACTTTCCAAACCGCCCAACCATCCTCCCTCCCCTTCTCGAAAAACAATGCAAACATAGTAATAGACAAGCACCGAGGTTCTGTCAGAGGTCGGGGCTGGGGCTGGGAAGGAAGATCCATCTCAGCTGCCCCTTGGTTGATGCCTGGGGCTGCTCTGGCTCTGTTGGTTTTTTATGTTTCCCTCTCTCTCTCTTTCTCTCGCATGCTCTTCATTCGCTTTCTTCCAGTAAGTATTATCAACCGGGCATCATAGAGTTTAGGAGTTTTTTTATAGCAATGCTCTTCGGAGCTCATTCATTGCATTGCAGCCCTCCCAGCAGGTATCATTCCGTTCGGAAGCAGCTGCAGCGGGCCGGTCTCCATGATGAGACAGGTTTAGAGCTCCTCGGAAGCTGTCAGGCCTGACGCCTCGATAATCAAGAGACCTTCGTTTCTTGTTCGTGTTGTTGCTGCTATTGCTGTTTCCATTCCTTCATGCCTTAAGTTGTTGTTGACACGTACAATTAGGAAATGGGTATCAATATTGGAAGCAGCAGCAGCAGCAAGTTGCTTCTGTGACGACTGTCACCATCAGTAGCAGCAGCCGCGGTCGTCGTCGCTTAGCAGTGCTGGCAGTGAGCAGTCGCTTAGCAGTAGGCTCAGTAGGCTCAGTAGGAGTAGTAGTAGTGGTAGTAGTAGTAGTGGTAGTAGTAGTGGTAGTAGCAGCAGCAGCTGGGGAAGGAGCTGAGCAGGAGCAGGCAGAGCAGGAGCAGGAGCAGCAGCAGCAGCAGCAGCAGTCGTCGCAGTCGCAGTAGTAGTCGCAGGAGCACGAGCAGCAGCCGCAGCGCGGCGGCGGTGGCGTTGATGGTGGTTCAGTTTTTTGATTGTATACTGGCTAGCTGCAGTATATCAGTTCAAACACAGCATACACAGGTTCCTCTCCTGGCTGGGCCTGTTGCAAGACATGCCCTTGCCGCAAGCTGCAGCAGACTGCCCCCTGGACGTGGTTGCTCAGCTCCTGCAGTGCCTTGGATTTGGTGCTTACATGCGGGACTTGCCGGGCCGGAAGCTGGTGCTTAGGGACTTCAGCCCCATAGAGTCCGTTTTCCTTTGAAGAGGAGGGGGGAGTTGCATCGCTGCCTTGTATCTCTCTAGACATCTCTGGTTTTTTGCTAGCCATGAACTGAACTCCGACCCTACATTGCTCCAGTGGTACGGCTGATGGACAAAATCCTGCATGACGCCGAGGACTCTAAACTATGGGAATTATGGTATATGCCTTACAGTGGGTAATGCAGGATTTTGTCCATCAACCGTATCGCTGCCTAACAGGCTTAGTTCGGGTCTTCCGGCTCAAGACGTTTCTGGTTACGAAGCCAGCGCCGGCTCGCTGGTCAAACTCCTGCATTTCATTTAAGCAGTAAGTCACAAAAGCCAACTTTGTGACAGGACCAGCAGTGGACTGCTATGGGGGCATAAATAATTACCAAGACTATTTTGGGGGTGTCCTTACTATAAAGATAGTATAATGGGCACCAAAACTCTATTCCATTTATTAGGGCCCCTAAATTACATGGTGGTCGGTTTGCCTCTCGGTCCGAGGCGGCCAGAAACGGCCTACCAGTGCGGTGAGCGGGACATGGCCGCATGACTTGAAGGGGAGGATCGCCCCACTACTACTGCTGCTACCACTACCACCACTATACTGCTATACTAGTATACCACGACCACTACTACTAGCCATTACTGCTGCTACTACTACCACGACCACTGCTGCTATTGCCACTGCTGCTGCAACTGCTGCTGCTAGCACCAGCGCCACTACCACCACCTGCTGCGACTCTACACTATGAATTTCTCGAGGCGCATTGGGCTGTTCTCACTGGGGTTGTTGTTCTCCGCCTCAAAATCGGCTCCCATCGTTTTAGGGTCAGGGTCGGAACAATGAATAATATGACATGATTCCAAAGGGTTGTTCCTTTTTTGGACCTGTACGATGGCAGGTCCAGACCATAGTCCTTCGTTACATGATTAGAGTGTGTGCATTGCGAAGCCTTTGTGGCAAACAACTTCGCCGATGGGAAGGGCAAAGCGCAGCGGTTTGTGTCGCCGTGATCCACGGAGCTTTTTCATGACACCTTCTGGACACTGCTACTTCATGTAGTAACCTGCTATGCAGGTAACCTCGCTCTTACCCCAAACCCTATGAACCTTAAACCCCAAACCCCTAAGCCTAAGCCGGCAAGACCAAGGCCATCATGCGCCACGAGTTGGACGTTCGTCGATCCGATGGGGCCCAGGCCATGGGGTGTCGGATTCTTCGTGCTGTCTAGAAATACCTAGAACCAGGCGGTTCAGTGGTACACTTTTTAACTTTCAGGTTCTGGGTTCCTATTAAACAATGAGAAGCCTAAACAAATATGTACTTGTTCCTAGTGGGTTACTGAACAGCCTAGAGAATCTAGACTTACAGATAAAGGGTTCAGAGGGCTTCGCATACGTTGGTACATAACTAGTACAATGGTTCAGCGTTTTATAGGGCTTATATCATATAACTTATTGTTCAGGGTTTGAGGGTTGAACCGATACCGTAGGATTCAAGGCTAGGGGTTCATATGGACATACATGAGTGGCTGTCAAAATTATGGTCCCTTTTTGGGTACCTTAAATAATAGGTGCCGTGCTATATCAGGGACTTTAAAGGGACCATAGTTTTGACAACCACCCACATGGCCAACACAAGATTTGCTGAAATGCGACAATTGAATTTCGAAGTCCTTGTGTGGCATCGACAAGACGAGTGATCGCAGCATCACCGGCCTGACATTGATTCATAGGGACCCTTAGCCGGGGAGGGGGGGTAGGGGAACTATACTCCCTCAAACAGGCCTTATTAGTTAAGGCCCCCTACCCCCGCGTCCCCCCACCCCCCTAAGGGTCCCCTCTGCTTGATTGCTTCTGGTGCAAATGCGAGTCTGCTAATGTAGTCCTGCTGGCTGCTAGAAACCATGATGTCCTTATGCTCCGCGGTGTACCTAGTGCAGCCAAAAATGCGTCACAAAGCCTAAACACGCTAATTGGGCAATCGCCACAAACCCTACAGACCGAGAGCCAGAAGACTTACACTCACCGCGTCCCTCGCTACAGAGGAGCGCCTGGTGTCCACGTTGATACAGCCCCGTGGACCTCATTGGCTGCAGAACCGGCGGGGGGTGTTCGCGGTATAGGCTTTAGGGTTCAGGGTTTGGGGCTTAGAGGTTCAGGGTCTTGGGTTCCGGGTTTTCGAGGGTGTAGGGAAATATCCATCTCAGCAAACCCCGTGGACCCTACTTTGTTCTTCATCTTAGGGGTTACCTAGGCACAGAAGGGCCTTCGCCTTGCAGAGCCCCTATACTCAAACCCAGAGACTCCAATATCCGGAATAGTCTTTAAAGTATCGTGGGATCCCTAATATGATCTAAGGCTTACAGGTATATTCCCTGAATTAAGGGATACTGGAGTCTGAGTGATCCCTGAAAACCCAAGCCTAAGGTATGGAGAGCCGAATGGCCACACCGCAATGGCAAAGACTGCGACTTGGTCGAAGTGAGATCGAGGATGTGCTCCCAATGACTCAACCCCACGAAGACCCGAAAGGGTTTAGGACTCGAGGTATTTTCGTCGGTGCAAGATGCTTGAGGTCGGTGAGTCTATAGTTGCAGACAATTTGGGAAACCAGACCTTACTCACCAGTGCCATTGGATCCCTGAGACCTCAGCCCAAAGATTCAACACCCCACAGACTCTGCAGAAGCGTAAACATGCAGTCCCCACTCAGACCCAGAAGACCCGGAAACCCCAAGCGCCCGTAAATCCAAAGCCCGCCTCATCTCACGAACGGATGATGCATCCTCGGTGTGCATTTCTTCACTTGAGTAGCAGAGTTCCTCCAGTAATCTTAATATTATTGGTAGAAAATGAAACTATATCTTTATATGTGTGTATATACATATAGATACATTGTAGCTCGCTATGTCGGGTTCACCAGTCATGTGCTGACTGAATCCTTTACAGGGTAATGAGAGCCCGGTGCTTTGTCGAGGGTCTGGGCCTAGGAATCGGTTGACAAGATTTAGGAGGCCCGTGTTGCCAGCCTATTTGACATCGAACTTAAAAGCCTAAATCGCATGTAGCATCAACGCCGCTGAGGTTCCCTCTACACAATATCTATATCTCTATCTGTATCTGTATCCATATCTATATCTTGTATACCCACATCGTAAATATCTATACATGTGCATGATTATATATATGTATACATACATACACACATACATACATACATACATACATGAATACATACAAGCAATATGGACCCTAAAACCTATACCCTAAACCTGTACTATACTGATTCATTAAGATATGCCCAGAAACTCTATTCAGATTGTTCAGGCCCCTACTTGGAGGATCATGGGGCTTAGTAAGTAGGGTTATAAGTACCCCCTAATTGGGGTTATAAGTAATTATAACTGCAGTTACTTCACTTATAGCCCTACTTACTAAGTCCCATGATCCTTTAAGTAGAGGTACATGGAAAGCCGAAGTTGGAATCTCAAGAATCAGGTGGGCCTCACCACTGCGATCAGTGCAGAGCTCGTCCTGGATCGGCCGAAGGAGCCGATTCTCCAGTTCAATATATGGGGGTTGATCAAAAATCTGGGCCCTTTTGGGGTCTGTATTACAGTATATTCCTTAAAGTCTTCGGGACCAAAAAGGGGCCCCTAATTTTGATCAACCCCCATATTGGCCTTAATCATAAATTGCTTAACAATTTTGGGAATTCCTTATTATAAGCTTAGATGTTTAGTTGCACCCTTGAATCCTTTTTTTTTTGCCCCCACATATGGGATTGGATTGTTCTTAATTTAGGTATCATGGGGTTTATTAATAATAAACCGTGGTCGATAGACTCATAGTCATTGGTGCTCAAGTAGTAGCTTTTTGCACACCTGTAGTCCACACAGAAACCCACAGACCCTATTAATCCCCTGGGAAAACCCAAACCCACTCGCCCTCGCCACTCCCACTCGCCCTCGCCACTCGCCCTCGCCTATCGCCTAACCCAAAACCCGGACCCAGACCCACTCGCCCTCGCCTAAGCCATAAGTTAATTCCTGCTGGATCATGTGCCTCCTGCTGCTGCTCCTCCTCGTCGATTGGACAGCGGGGGATCCCAGAATCATTTCAGGGCTTATTATAGGGTTTAGTTAAGGACGACCGATACAGGTCGAGACCGATACAGGTCTTGTAGTTAGGACGACCGATGCAGGTCGAGACCGATACGGGTCTGTAATTTTAGGGTCTAGGTCTAGGGTAGGAATTTAATTTATTAGATTGGAGACGACCGATGCAGGTCGAGACCGATACAGGTCTTACGTAGCTTCGGGTCTAGGTCTAGGTATTTGACGACCGATGCAGGTCGAGACCGATACAGGTCTTAGGCTTAGGTCGGTTTGGGGTCTAGGTAACCTGAGGACCGATGCAGGTCGAGACCGATACAGGTCTTAGGTAGGCTTGGGGCCTAGATTTAGGGTTTAGGGGTTTAGGGTTTAGTAAATTTAATAATAATAATAATAATAATAATAGGGGGTTGAGGGTTTAGGCTCGGGTTACTTCCGGTCTAGGCCAGGTAGTGCTTAGCGCCTCAGATGTAGTCTGGGCTTTAGCTGTTCAGGGTTTTTGGGCAGGGCTTGGCTTTGGGCTTCACGGTAGCGTTTGGGGTAACCTGTGCTGTGGCTTAGCGCTCATAACGCCTAAACTTTAAGTTTTTACCCTGAACCCTAAACCCCTAAAACCTGAAACCATGAACCTTAAATCCCCTGAACCCTTTAAAACCCCTAAACCTAAAACCCCGAACCCTAAATCCCTGAAACTTAAACCTGTGTCGACCTGCGCCGTGGGTTATTAGACTACTCCACCTCCCTGGCCCTAAGCCCCTAAGGGCTTAAGCACCTAGGTTTCGGGTCAGGGATCTTTCGGAGCCTTACCCCCAATTCAGAATAGGTTTTTAAAGGGCAGGGGTGATTTTGGTAGGATTATTCGGGTGTGGTTTTATTTAATTATTCAGATAATCAACAAGGGTGAAGGATTAATCACGGCCAAAACCCCTTGCCCGACACAGGGTCAGGGCCTCAGCTCTGTGCTCTCGCCCTCGTTGGGTCAATTTGCTTGGTTTTTCCATTTCAGACCTTGAGTCTTTGAAATTACGAGGTTGATCTTTGAGCCGTAGAATCACGACTCGACCATGGGAAGCCTTTTCAATCAATAATAAATTAGGGGTCCTCTCGCCTATCGTCCTCGTACCGACTTGTTGACAACTTCGTAAACTCATCAACGATGACACGCGAGCCTCCAACTAAACCCTGATTCAGGTGAAAAGCTGCAGATGGCTTTGCGCTTCTGGGCTTGGAGCCCAAAGCCTTGCGAAGTGGTGTGTCGCCTTGCTCTACCAGCCACACCTGACTGCCCAGGTCAAACTGCGCACTGGTGGGCTTGGAGCCCAGTCGCATCACTTTTGACTTACCCGCTTTTGGGGAGTGTCTGCAGCTGGAAGTGGAACTATCTGACTTTGACACGAGGCCTTGGCCATTGTTGCGACGCCGTCACCGTCCTCGCCCGAACGTGCGGCTGACACAATTGCTAAGTTGGTTTCTGCATGCCCAGGCACTGACTGTATCACCGTCGCTTGCAAGTCATTGCCTGTCGGTTGCATTGCAAGTTTGGCTTGAGCTTGACATCATTCATCCGTCGGTGTTTTCAGTTCAAGAGTGACAGGGCCCTCGACATGCCAGCCATGTGCAATGACATTTAATAGTGTTCACTACTATACACGACACGAGTCACATGCTTTGACAGCTGGCAGGGCTTGGCTGGGCTTAGCCGCTTTAACCAAGGCTTAGCTTCGACTTAGGCTTAAACGTCAATCTTTAGGATTGCTTAAGGCTCAGCTTAGGCTTTGCGGCTTAGCTTGGCTGATAGGGTTGAGTTTTGGCCCTTTTAAATTCCCATGGCGTCTTCGTCCGCCTCTGCGCCCTCGACGGGCCTGTTGCCCCCGGCCTTCCAGGCGGCACACAGCCGACTGAGGGAGGTTTTGCTCGCCCTGGACTTGATCGTAATGGCTTGGGGGGCCGAGGCGTGGTATGACAACGGCAGAGGCCACCAGGATGCATGCAGGACTTATTGACCTAAGACAGTTGGGTCGTTAAATTATAATATTATTATAACGACAAATTAAATTTTCAAGTCGTTGGAATAACCCAGGTGATGGCTTCTATGGCAGGGACGGCATGGTGGGGAGGCTCAAGAGCTGGTACCCTAGAAGCGTCCACGTCACCGTGGACGTCCGCGCGCCCTCGCTTTGGCCGAGGGACGAGGCCCGCTCCTGACCTGCATTGCAGTAATCTTTGGGCTTTACAGGGCTTAGACAGGGCTTAGCCGCTTGAAGAGGAATCCTGAACTTAGGAGACGGCGATACGCCCACGCAGATCCTCGACACGGAGAATGGGCGACGGACGCTGCGTTACTGCCTTGCGCAGCTCATCAGCATGGTGCTGCCTGAGTCCTGCAGGCAGGTTTCTGTGCTCTTCCAGGTCATCTGCAACTTGGCTTTGTTAAAACAGTTATTAAATGTTATTATTAATATTCATGAGTAACCCTAGCCATGAACCTTAAACCCGGGGACCCTGTTCCCTAAACCAGTAAGGTTCCGCTGGGAGGCACAGGTCCGCGTCCATCGCCCTCGCCCTCGCGTGCATGTTCGATCTGCGGCTTTATCTGCCTAGCCGGGAAGGACTTATGTCCGACCCGGAGGTTCCGGCGAGGCTCTCGGCAACCAGCCGGTTGTGCAAAATGTGCCAGGAGGCTTTCAAGGACGTTTGCAGCGGCTTCTTCTGGTACTTTCCAGTGCCGCCTCCGCCCACGCCCTCGCCTTCGCCCCCGGCGCCTTCGCCCCCGGCTGCCTCTGCGTCTGAGCCGCCCTCGGCCCAAGAGCTCGCTTCTCATCTGCATTTAATAATAAGTAATTTTTTGATCTAAATAATAATAAGGACCCATTGCCTCGTTGTAATGGTTTTGCTCTTAAGGTCAAGAGGAGCGTCACCACAGCAGCTCCATGGGTCGTGGAAACCCTGACGGAGCTGAAGGTGGACTCCAAGACGTGGAGCGCTGCTTGTTTGCATCGGACCCTTAAGTAAACTACCCTAACCCTACTCTGTTTCTCTCAAATCCTCAACCCTAAACTCAAACTACTAAAACCCTGATCAGGTCGTGGCATCCCTCATCGCCCTCGGCCCCGATGGCTTGAGCAAATTGGGGGAAATAAATACGATCGCTCTGCAGCAAGCTCGACTGTATCAGTCGTGGGCCTGGGCGTCGCAAAAGCAGAAGGCCCGGCTTTCTTTTCAACTTTTATTTCTCATAATCAGAAGCCTAGGCTCTAAGTTTTTGCGTCCTCGACCTCGATCTCGCCTGAAGGATTCTGCGTGGAGGAATCCTTCTGCAATCCTGACGTGGCACTGCCGGACCGCGATGAACGAGATCGGCAACGAGCGCGACTCGGCGGCACCATTAATAAATTTAATTAACCCCGGTCCATTGTAGCCACTTAATTTAATTATAACATTCAAAATATTTAAACAACCTGGACCTCTAGCCTAAGGAACCCGAATGTCCAGGAGACAGCCACACACGGCCTCGCCCTCGTCCCGGCGGCGCTCCCGCTCCCGCTCCCGGTCCCGCCGCCCGCGACCGCGATCCACAGCCCATGCCATCTCCTCAGCCTCCGAGTCCTCGTGATGCCACTGCGGCCTCGTCGACGATGTCAATGTCGATGATGTCGTATTCTCTGGTGCTCGTGGACGATGACGACCTTGATCCGCCATCGTACTACGAGCCACCTGGCGGAGACGACGATGATGAGGATTTCGAGGTGGTTAAGCCACCGGCATGATAGGATGCCCAGTAGTCTTAGTAGTAGTACCATTAATAAATTAATCCTAGGTAAATTTACCCACTACCTTCGAAACGGAGCCCTTGTTGAATTTTATTCCTAGGTTACTGGGCATCCTATAAGTTGCCGGTTCGAAATTGCCGGGAACAGTTCCTCTGGCAGCTCTTCCGTTGTGATTTCAGGGCCAGTCTTTTTGTGTTAAATTATAACTTAGATTAAGACAAAGAGCTCAGTGTCCTGTAGTTTTCATTCGCCCCCGACAAGACATCTAGTCTTAATCGCCCTCGACCTCACGACGGAAGTTCAACAGCTGTCGGCTGAACCTGTCTACTACCGGCCGGGAATGACGAAAAAGGTGTGGAACGTGCTTGGTGACTGCATAATGATGTGAGCATGTCATTGACTGCACTTGTTTCCTTGCGGCCCTGCCAGGCTTTTGGTCTTCTGTCACCTACGCCTGGGTGCATCTCTCAGTCAGGGGGGTTAGACAGCAGCACACTTTTTGACTGACCATTGGATTGCATTGAAATTGCCAGTTCGACCATTATTATTAATTTAATGACTGACTGACACCATTCTGAACCAGGTACTCTGGGAGACGCCGTCGTTCACGCCATCGCTTCGCTGCTGCCCAGGACCAGTTGGGCTGCATGCGCCATTGTCAGTCTTCATGATCGAATCATGTGCTTTCAATATTTCGCAAGCGATGTCGGACCTCAGCTGAGTGCTCGAAAATTCGCTTGTCGGTGACACTAGCATGCGAAGCCTCACATCGTCCTCGGTACTGCCAATTCAAAAAGGACCCTGCACCCCAAACCCTTTAACTTTCCGGTCCAGTCCGCATCTAAACAATGCTTAGAAATTCGACGATCATGAAGCTGAGGAACACATCATAATAATATTGACTGATAGGTTCCAGACTTACCTTAGGACTGTGGTCACTTAGACTTTCTCCCTCGGCTAGCCATGGCTGATCAAGGCGGTGAGGACTGGTGGCAGTGGGGCGGCTGGGATGACTGGGATGAATGGGAAGACCCAGGCTGGAGCCAGAGTTCGCCCTCGCGCCCTCCCGCCAAAGGGGAGGGCAAGAACAGATGGCTCCGTGGCAAAGGCGCTTACGCGAAGCGGAAGAAGAACATGAAGCCGAAGGCCTTCTGCTTTAATTGGGTAGGTTGGTTTAGGGTTTAGGCTGATCTGACGTTTGCTCGTCTGTTATGCTCCCCCAGGAGGAGCGCGCAAACTACAGGAATCCGTCCTCGGCTTCGGCTTCGCCCTCCCAGCCTGGCCCTAAAACGGTGCCGCCACGGCCGCCAGCATCGTCGCCCAAGGTTGAACCGGCGACCTCGCCCTCCACGCCTAAGCCAGTGCCGCCAGTGCCCGAGACCACGCCCTCCACGCCTAAGCCAGTGCCGACCTCGCCCTCGCCAGTGCCGCCAGTGCCGGAGACCTCGCCCTCCACGCCTAAGCCAGTGCCACCAGTGCCCACGCCTGCCAAAGCGCCGCCAGTGCCCGTGCCTGTGCCGCCAGTGCCCACGCCGGTGCCGCCAGTGCCCGCGCCTGCCAAAGCGGCTGAGACATCAGCACCCCTGCCCAGTGCCAGACCACCCGCGCCAGCAAGCCTGCCCAGTGCCAGACCACCCGCGCCAGCAAGCCTGCCCAGACCGTCCCCGTGCTTCACAACGCCCTCGCTGGCGTCGGCCACTACTTATCCATTTAACACCATTGTTGTGAGCGTGGCTTTTAATTTTAGGGTTTCAACAAGCCTCCCTTAGCCTTTCAGCTGAGTCGGTGGTCTTGGTTGCATCAAGCTACACGCAGTTAAGGTTGGTATCAGGCCGGCCGCTGCTGCTTTCAACCCGATGCACTTGGGCTCGCGCGCTCCGCTGCCGAATGAGCCGGAGCCAATCCGGATGTACCCGGCCTCGAGTGCGTCGACCGCAACTTGGCAATGACTCAACCCGGGACCCTACAGACAACTTTTTAAATTAAATCCCAAACCCGGACCCAAACCTTTAATTGATTACCCCTACGTAAGCACGAGACCCTAAAAAACATTAGACCCTCAGCCTCAATTTAAAGCCTGAAGCCCTAAACCGCAAGCCCGACGACAACATCAACAATGACAGTGACAAGAGCAACAACGACACCAGTAGCAGCCGCAATGACAATGACTCGGCAACAGCAACAGCAACACAGCAGCAACAGCAACGTATTTACAGTAGTCTGCTTCAGGCGTCCTCGACTCTACGTGGCGACCAACTCCTCTACGAAGCCCAGTTCGCCAAGTCGGCGCTGAACGTCGAGGCAATTTTAAAAGACCTGCTCGATTCGGCCCCGATGGTGCTCTCGCGGTTCACGCAGAGAGGCGGGGATGCAGAGTTCCATGGCCCCAAGCCCTGTCTGTAGTAGCTTTTTTTTCAAATAGATTATAATGATACATGTTATGTCCAGCCTATCCAAGGCTTTATCGCTGGATGAAGAATTTCCCAGCTCTGCGCGGCTTGATCCTTCAGTGCCTGATGGTCGTCGACGTCACCGCCCTCGCCCTCGGCTCTGCATGGCCGAGGCTGCAGGAGATCCTCTTGGCGAGCCTCTGCATTGATTTATTAGAAATATTTGATTCTGGACCTTTAGCTTTAAGTTCAGGGCTAGGGTATAGGGTTCACTGTTTGATTTAGGGGTTGGGGCTGTCGCAGGATGAGGCAGCAGGAGCTGGTGGAGCCGCTCCGGGTCTGTGCCCACAACGTCCTCGCCCGCTGCATTCGCGACGGCCTCTTCAAGCCGAAGCCGGGCGAGGCGGACTTCCCGCCGGCTCCCACGGCGCATCAGGCAAGGGCTGATGTCAAAACAGTTCGGAGGGTTGCGCACCCCCCTAAACCCTCAATATTTTATTAAACCCTAAACTTTACTTTTACTGGCCTTGTCACAGGAAGTGCCCCTGACGCCCACGACCCCGGGTTCGGCTTCGAGGCAGTGGGCATACTTTGGGGTTTAGGTTTAGGGGAGTTCGCTTGTTTCAGCCACGCAGGCCGCAGCGCGAGGCCTCGCCTGAGCCACCGCCCCCGTCCTCGCGGGGCAGGTCGCGCTCAAAGGCGCGGCACAAGGACTCAGTGGATTGATTATTTATTATTAACAACTAATTATAATAATGTAAGGCATTGGGGAATAAGGCTTGGAAGGGGTTTAGGGCGTAGAGTTTGGAGCGGAGGGTTCTTGGGTTTTCCATGCTGCCCCTTTCAGGAGCGAAGGCCCTCGGAGAAGGACAAGAAGAAGGGCAAGTGACGGCGCTGGCGGGCTGAAAAAAGTGTCTTCTGTTTCCTCGTTGACTGATCATTCATGTCACTGTCCTGCATCACATGTGACTCTTGTGTCCAGCTTGACTTGCGCACAGGACTTATCGCCTTGCCGCTACTGCCAGCAAGTACCTCAGTCGTTCAGCTCGTAATTTGTCGCATCGGTAGCGACCAGACTTCATTTTCTTCAGACCTGGATGTCGTTCGCACATGATGTTAGCTCTGGCACGTTTTTTCTGTGCAGTTTGCTGAGTCTGGAATCAGACAGAATGAGTCAACACTCAGTGTTTGAGAGATGGCGACATGTGAGTCATGACCTCATTTTCTTCAGGTGTCTTCCCACAGTCAAAAGGCGACACGGATGTCGGGCCCTCGTGTTCAACATGATGTTAGATTAGCCTGGGCATGGCTTTCTGGGCATGTTAGTATTCAATCGTCCTCGCCCTTGTTATCTGAATCTCAGTGTCGAAAGGGTGTCTCAGGTTTCACTGTCAGAGTCATTGACACTGGCACATGTTCGATTTGCTTTTCATACCCGTGGACAGGGACACCGCTGCCCTCGCTGCGCAATGCCACGAAAGGCACGGGGCATCATTCCGAAGTGCTTTTTGCTCGCCCTCGGATGCTGCAGGCATGATTTAGTAATTTAGTCTAGTAGTACCGCGACCAGCGTTGCATGACATGCCGCATGCTGGTAAGATGATGATTGTTTGTTGAATGTGCAGTTTGCCACGAGCTGCGCAGCAAAACAGTGTTTTCCTGAAACGAGGACGAGGGCCTGTGCCCTGCTGAAACGAGGATGAGGCCTGCCCGCTGACATTGGGTCACTTTCTGATTCTGTGGCCATGAAGTCAGTCGAGTGATGCTGACTTTAACGTCAACTCATTGAGTCATGTTCGAAGACTTTCCTGGGCAGGGCACTGTGGCAGTGGCTGCAGTCAAGGCAGGACAGTGGTGCTTTTGCCGCACGATTGTGCCGAGATTAGCATTGAATTTGAATTGAATGGATGCCAGCTGACTTATTGATGATGCATGCTGCAACGTGTCGGATCATTGATGGATATTGAAAGCTTGGCAGCCCTCGTGTGTCTGGGCTTGCAGAAAACATGGTGGCCAAAGCCCAGCCGAGAAGGACCAAGGGCAATTGGGGGTTCTGTCCCTGCAGCCTCAGTGTTGGGGTGGGTGTCCCTGAGGATAACTCCTGGTGGAAAGACCATGCGCATGCTGCGGCAGAAGGCCGACCGAAATTTCTGATTTTAGAGTGATGGCTCGCCGTGTAATACCTTGGGCTGAAAAGGCACAGGCTGGCTTGAAGCAGCGGCAGGACCTCCTAGGATTGGTTAAGAACCTTGTCTGTGCTCAGACTTCGTTTAATCATAAATTATTCTTAGTTCAACTGCACGGCATTGCTTGGGCCAACTGAGGGTGCCCTCGACCATACGATATGCTGCAGACTGCTGTGGTTACGACACTGGCGTCAAGGGCTCAGAACTTGAACTGACTGCTCGTTCTTGGAAGGCGATTCTTTGATAATTTCAAGCCTGTTAGCGTGAATCAGTCTCCAAGTGAGGCCCTCGCCCTCGCATTCATGGGCGTGAAGTTCAAGATCATTCATACAACCGAGATCGATGATGAAGTTCAGACAATGAGGGATGTTGTTCACAGGAGAATAACGTCCTCGGCTTCGACAATGCGCAGGTCCTGGTG